GAAAAAAAAAAAAATAATCACTCGGGGCGTTTTTGTGTGGGAGAAGAGGTGAGAAAATAATTAAATAAAGCAATCAAAAAAGAAAAAAAAAGAAAAAAGGAAAAAAAACCAATAAAACTCCGATCGTATTAATTATCGTTGGTATATTATATTTGTTGTTAGTACTATTATTGTTACTGAAATTTTGTTAGTTTTCAATTTGAACGTAAATTTACGATTACTTTTTGATTCGTAATAAAACCGAACAAAGAAAGAAAATCAATGGAAATGAGGTAGGTAGGTAGGTAGGTACATAGGTAGGATTGAAAGTATAGGAAAATAAAAATCAATTAATTAATATATATTCGATTTAATTCCTACCTTCCCTCCCCCTTGCCCCCTCACCCCTTTACCACCTCATCACAATCCCTTCTTCCTTCTTTTTCTCTCTTTCTATCTTTTGTCTAACTTTCATTTGAAATTTCTTTCTTTTGATTTCTTTCTTTCTTTCTTCCTTTCTTTCTTTATTTGTTTTAATCTGAAACGAGTTCGATAACGTTTAGAAAAGCATGGATGGCTTGTGGTAAAATTCGGGAGAAGAGCGTGAAAGACCGAGTTTGAGAAATGCTTCGATATATCAGCGTTAAGCCGCTCTGTCAGACGCACTCGGATATTATCCTGAATAGAGCTGATGGATACCGAAAGACTCTTCTCTGCCAACCAGCCAACCAGCCACTCGATATACACACATTCGCAAAATCTCTTCTATGTATATATATGGGTTAGGATATATGTATATGATATACCAATGCCATGAAGGTATACTTCATAAAGGTGATGTGTCGATTTATTTCTTCTTCATATATATATATATGTGTGTGTGTGTGTGTGTGTATATATGTAACACTTTCCATTCAAAAAAAATTCATCATCATGTCACTTTATATATTTTTATAATAATTCATTAATAAATGAAATCTCTTTCATTCTCTTAAATCTCACGTACTTTTTACGATTTTATGATCATATAATTTTCGTGGAAATTAATTAAAATTATATTCCATCGAATAGAATAATCCACCACCATTAGAATTGTATATACGTGTATGAGGGGGAGTGAGAGGGAATGATAGAAAAAGAGATATCAAATTTCACGTAGAGATACTTGAACTTTAAAATGTTGAAAACGTTTGAGAAAAGAGAGATCTCTCTTTTCTTCTCATAGAAGAAGAAAATCTTATACTGGAATTTGAAAGATAGTTAAAGAAAGTAAGAATGACTATGGTAAAAAAGGGAATGCCAAGAATAAGAAGAAGGAAATGCAGAAGAAGGGCCGTGAAAAAAGGGCTAGAAAATGGTCTTTAATCTCTTGCTCCTTTCGACGATAATCTTTCTCTGTCAGAGTAATTGCTTAAACCGTGAGAGTAATAAGATTATTCCTTTCTCTCTCTCTCTCTCTCTTCAAATTTATTTTTTGATTATTTTCCATATCCCTTTCCCTACTTTTTTTTTTTCAATTTCATTTTCATCTTAAAGTTGTCCTAATCGATCAAGTATATTTTAATCGAAAATATTCGTAATAATAACTTTGTTTTCCTATGTTGAAATTTATCGAAAACAAAACAAAAATAAAGATAAACTATTTTTCTATTCTATCTCTTGGGGGTTAAGATAAGATTAAAATTGTCCCATACACTTTTTTAATGCACCGTAAATGCAATTAATAATCTGCACGCTCGCATAAGTGTTCATATTAACGTAAATCAATTGATAATAATATTCAACAAAATATGTAATTAAAACTGTACTCTCTGTTATTTCGATATTTTGATATTATTACAAAATATTATATATAACTAATATAATAATATAACTAATATATTGTTCACACAACTGGTTCAAAATAAATTGTTCATAAGATTTAACAACCGTCTCTAATTCCCTTTGATACTTATATTAATAATATTTATTTCTCGACAAGAATATTAATAATTAA